AAAACTATAGCAATGTGTCAATACTTTTTATCGTGACATAACAAAACAATTGAAAACTATAGCAATGTGTCAATACTTTTTATCGTGACATAACAAAAACAATTGAAAACTAAAGCAATGTGCCAATACTTTTTATGGTGACATAACAAAAACAATTGAAATCTATAGCAATGTGTCAATACTTTTTATCGCGACATACCAAATAAAACATTATATTTGGAAATATTTTATGAATGAAGACCTACCTATAGAATTCTGAGGGGGGCGCCATTGAGTAGTCTCCATTGCTGGTTTTGACATCGGTGGAACCGGAAGTGGAGTATGGGAGTAACCTAAAGATGATGAATTATATAAGATAAAAACACAAGTAGGTTATTTTGTATGTCAGAGCTTACTCTTTAATTTCCAATCTTAAATATCCATTCGTATAATTTCTAAAAATCAGACCTGAAAACTTTCCCGGTAAAGTCATGTATTTGCTTTGATAGAACATCAGTCAGATTTTTCTTCAATCCTTAAAAACCGTGAAATCTCAATTCATTAACTATTGTTTATTTCCTTGCTACTCGGTGAAGCAGTGGGATTTTCAATTGTCAATTCTGTCTTCATCAGCCGTACCCTGGGTATGAGAAGTTAAAGCAAATGTATGTTAACACCGCTTAGCATTATCAGTGATTCCCACTATGTCGTTGTCGCTTTATCTCTATGTATAACATCTAATGAAGCGTCGAAGCAATCCAGTAACAGCATTAAGTGGTTTAAATAGAAATTCTCCCTGGCTAAATCTCAACCTTTTAAACAATCAATTTGACTTGATTTCCTCACAAATCTACTTAACGTTTCCTCTGATATTGTCGTCGTCTCATTCACGTCTAGATCTCTCCAAAATAGTTAAAGACATCACAAATGTGTGTTGTCTTGTTGCCTCGAAGCCAATGAGAAACAAACCATGAGCAGGAAGAATTGGTTAAAACATAATACAACAATAGAACATCAGATAACCAATTAACATCCCTTGAACAAAATACAACAACATGCTATAAAAATCTGTAAGAAGCATAACCCGAACACAAATTGTGAAAACAAAATAAATAGCACCAAACATAACTCAAAACAACCAAAGCGAGAGAGATTCAAAAGCCTTATGATAGAAATAATCCTCAATACTATAAAAAAGAAGTTATGAAGGAACTAAGTAACAACATTTCAAGAACACAAATCAATTAATCACATTTGCCATGGCGACCGTATACAGTCTAATATTTCTACGGCCAATAGCAACTCTACGGCCGCAATTTAATTTCAACGGTAACATACTTTACCAGCTGAAACAGTAGCCGTAAGGCGTATTTCAAATTTATGAAGACAGAAAAATATGGTTGCGTATTATTGGCCCTTGAAATGATGACTTGACCGAAGATATTGACAAATACAAACGCAACGCAAACGCAACAAGGTCGCAGGGGTCCGTACGTCGACCGTACGGCAACAGTGCGTCCAGTCTGACGCTATGATACGATTACGGTTTGTCTAATTTCTACTGCGACCGTATAAATGAAAAATATAACTCTGTTTTATAATTTTTATTTCGACCTGACTACCTGTAAAACGGGACATGCCTTACGTCAACCAGAAGGAGAACGTAGTTTTTCTACAAGTGCCATAGGTATTTCTTGGTTTTTAGGGAACTGCGGTCGCCGAGGCGCAAATGTGACTGAGGCACAAAAAATGTACATTGGTTGACCAATGAAACAGATAATGCAGAAACCAATAAAGCACAGCCATGAAATTGATATTGAAAACAAATCCTTTGTGAATGTCTAGATCTTTAGGTTTCTAAGATAATGAAGAAACAAAACTTAATAGCATTCAAGCTTACTTTGATTGTCGCCGTTTGGTTGTCCCCATGATGACTTACTGTAACTGGAATCTGGAAACATATAGAGATATGTTACAAGAAAACAAAACAATTGATAATATCAGAAAAATGTCTTTCAATACTCTCATATCATTGCAATAAGTAAAATCTGAAAGATGTAAAGACATTAGCCACAGTTAGATTAAGCATTCAACAAATAATTATAAAACGGTTGCTCTTTGTGACAATCAGAGATGTCTCTGTGACAATGTATGATCAACGTTTTACACAGAAGACTCCATAAAACAAGCCACTGCGTTGGAATTCAAGAAAGCAGAACTATTTGCAAATATGTCATGCAGTAATTGGTTAATCGACGAAAAGTACAATCCGCTTGCAATATACCTGTTTATCCCACGATTAATGTGTTATCTGTACAATAACAGCTATTGATATTTCTGATATTATTGAAATCCGTGTGATATTTTCCAGAAAATCGTTTATCAAACTTATATGCTGCGTGTGGTAGCGTTTATCTCACGCATATCCGTGTGATATCACATTTGCATTTCGCGGCACAATATTCTTGGAAATTAGGTCAGATAATTTATTCTCTTTTGAGAAAATAGGTCCGTTAATTTATTCTCTTAAAGTTTCATTGGTGTATTGAATTACGATTGTGCACACTCCCCTCCATAAGTTTGGCAACCTTTTTTCCCCCATTGAACTACGTGTTAAAGCCTCTTTACCTTTGAATTTTTATTTACTTAACCTGCGATGAAAATACTTAAACTATTGCTGGGAACGTAATTTGACCTTAATTCCAATACCTCCAAATTTTCTCAATTTTTTTCTTCAATTACAATAGGTCGAAAATTGATGATAAATTTGATGAATTTTTGAAAATCATTTTATCGCCTCGTAGATATCAAATATCAACACTCATTCGCTTCGCTCTCTCGTGTTGATATTTTATATCAACTCGGCGATAAAAATGATATCACTCAAAATGATACGATATTCTGTATATTTAAAATAGAAATTATCTTAGGATCTTAAATTCCTCAAATAAAATACAAATACCAAAATGAACCAATGGACATAGTTAGCTTTTAACTAATGGTCAGAAAGTCTGGCCAGTCGTTTTTCTATAAACATTGGAGAGGAGGTTGGGAGGCTATACCTGTCCGCATTTCATGTATCTGTTTTTGATACACTTATTTGTGCAATAACCATAAGCGATATTTTTCGAAAAGTTGCGTTCTTCATTGATCAATATTTGTGGAAAATGAATTTATGCAACACATTTAGGAATACTTTAGAATTAATATTATAGACGTTTATAATGACATGATGAAATTGATAGGTGTTCATATAATGGTAATGTTTATAAAGGTTTTGCTGTTTGCCATTGTTTCCTCGAACTTGTTTATTCTTAATATTTTGACGAAGCTCGACGTTTCAAATTGATCCTTCTATTCATCATGGGGATCTGGTACATGTATCACCTACGAGAACAAGTCGGACCTCGATATTACCGATGGCTTGAAAAAGTTCAAACATTCTGGCTTTATTATAGGGAAACATTTTAAAGCGGTGTTAGTCGACAAGATTATAAATTTCTGCAACAAATATCTGTTACGTGTAATTTGTTTACATGTCCATTTTACATACCATAGTTCCCCGGGTATATATGCATATTGGGAGTGAAGGCTGGGAATGTGCAAGGGTGATACACGTCCATGGGTTGCTGCTTGATTGCTTGCATCTGCATCTCCAAATGCTTAATATCACTCATTAGTTCATTTATAACGCCGACTGCAAATGATATTTCTATTCATTTCTTAACTGCAAACGTTATTGTTTCGATTATGCGAAGAATTAGATAAAAACACACATCCTTGCACTGTCCACCAAATCAATCCTCGGTGTAATTGTACACGAATATTAATGCTTTGTACTCAATTGATGATAATTAATCGTTCCTCGTCAGATAATTTCATTCCAGAGACCTTCATCAATTTGGTATAAATTAGCTAAGATTGTTCGCACGCAGGTTTTAATATCGATTGTCACCATATGACTCGGGACTGAACAACTTTTCCTTTTGAACAAATCAGAGTCTACATATTGAAACTGCAAATACCGTCACAAGGAAATGACCAATTGGGAGACTTCTGATTCGTTGAGCAAATTTTGTGTATTTGATTATGAGTTTGAATGACGCCGTTGGCTTGCTGCAATTTCTGCACCTTTCTGCCTCATGTCCGGGGTCTTGGGAAAAATGTCTATTCTTACATTGCAAATAGTGTATTTGAAATTTTCAGGAATCTTTCAACATCAAATATAGCTAATTCTACTGTAAAAATTAAGTCTAATTTTATCAGGATAAGGAGTTTATCTGTGATTTTAATTAAGACCTATATCTTTAAATGATAATTCTTTCTGCAATTCTCATTCTAAATAATCCAAAATATTCTAGATTAAACGAAAATGTTTCAAATTAATTTAGGATTAGAATCTTTTAAATAACCTCTGAGAAATAATACTCATTGCAATTGTATGCTGAAACGATTCCATCTATTTTGACTAAAGGATATGAAGAATTGACTTTTGTATAGTGGAACCATGTTTCAACATTACTTACAGTGGATTCAAATAAGATGTCATATAAGAACCCCTTTCTAGCATTTCTGATGGTGCACCTGCTGTGTTTTAGATAAAAATATTTTCTAAATAATTTGAGTAACTTTTTTATCTTCTTCTTATTTGAGGTGAATTCTGAAAAACAATAAATTAGGGAATGTAACCCAATATTTTAAAGCATGTGTGAATGATGTACACACCTCCTTTAGTGATGTATATGAAACTATGTAGAATACTAAGTAACTTACAAAAGGGGCGACCCATATATTCTGATAAAAATGCTCTCATTTTGGGATTTTTTCACATATCCCTCTCATTTTTTCAGAACTTGAAGATTATGTAATTACTCATACAATACTAAAATATTATAGCTATATCTTAAATTATTGTTGAGATAAGGTTGCCATGGTAACCTGTATTTAGGGTAGGCAGGTCAGTTATAACGTATACGTATAAAATAGATAAATTTGTTAATTTAATCATTCCTCGGTACCTATTTCAAGCAGACCAAACGCATATCCAGGTCATTGCCAACTATTCGTTGAACCGCTCCATACCCCTGTTGCCCTTGTTTGCTTTTTCCACAGTGGAATAGTTCTTTTTTCATAAATTGCATCTCAAATTATCGTAGTGTTATTCTCTGTCCGCAAGCTCTTCTTGCAACCAGATTGGGAATGATATTCAACAGTGACTAGCCTTCCTCAAATTTACAATACTACCTAGAAATCCTTAGAGCAGATATAACACCTTGTCTATACACTAATACGAGTCAAAGTATGTCTCTGACGGTGTTCTCTTACTTATTCTTGATAGTATATAAAATCTAATGGTAATCCTAATGTATCTGTTAATGTCACTCTTTGCAACAGCCGCACTAACCTCATCTGATCTGTCATTTTAATATTTGGTGTGTCTCATGACATGTAATTCCAATTTGCCCATGCTGTCATACATTGCTATTGTGAGTTGTTGTGATGTTATAGTGATCACAAATAAACATTTGTTTAGCAACAAACAATGAGAAACAATACCAAACTTTTTTTAGAAAAAATGTATGACTTCTGCATGCTTTCAAATAATTAAAATAACAAGTTATTATGATATTTTATACGTTATAATTTAATTGACCTGCCTACCCTTAATACAGGTTACCATGGTAACCCTTTCTCTTAATTAATTTAAGATGTAGCTATAATATTTGAGCATTGTATGTGTAATTACATAATTTACATTTTCTGAAAATATGAGATGGATATGTGAAAAAAGGAGAGCATTTTTATCAGAATATATGGATCGCCCTTGTATTATTAATATATTGCATGCTTCATCCTGACAACTACTATTGAGTATACAACCAAGCTTTATATCCTGTACTCACAAAGCGAAAAGGAATTTTTGAAAAAGTTATATTCATAGTCAAAGTTAATCTTGAAAATATATCAATTTGTAAAAACTCATTTCAACTTTTAATCAACTTTAGGAATATGTCATAAATGTACTAGTCCCCTTATACCAGAGACATTCATCCTTTTATGTTCAGACCCTGAGCAAATTGTTTCTAACTATTACCACGGCTGCCGTTTTAATTATAACAACTATCCTTGGTAGCTGAATATTAATATTGTTAACAATCGGTAGACATAATATGAAATGAATGAATTTTTCTCTTAATTTCAACCCCATCCGTCCCATGCAAAGACAATAGGACATACAGGGCATAAATCTCCATTGTTGATGAAAACCTTCAATCAGATTCTTATTGATTCATTGTTGTGCAATAAGACCAACATTTTAAGTCAACAATTGACTCTTAGAAGAGGTTAACAGCAATTTAAGGATAAGTAACTCTTGTAATTGCCCCTTAGAAATGTGAACTATGTTCAATGTTTGTGTATATTGTAAATGTTAAGTGCTTGTACATAGGATTGGGTTGAATGTTAAGAGGGGATCAAAAGTGTCATAAATGCTACTATATGACCCATCGCGATACACGTGCCCGTTGTCTTGAATTTCGCAGAGGCAAGTGGCAGATAAGAGGGGCTATGGTAAACTAGAATGACTCGAACTTGTGAAAAAATGTTCTTCATTGTATAAAATAAGTTTGGTTGTTTATGTTACATTCTTATTTCAAAATTGAAGTTTAACCATTTGTTCTTGAAAATGTTGGATATTCCAAGTACGAATTCTAAATGGTTTCCTGTGAGTTTGAAGCAATATGTCTATTGATCGACATTATTTATTAAATTTTGACTCATGTTCCTTGTGTTGTCTCTCGTGTTTCCTGAAAAAATGTATGCCAACGACCTGTCAACTCTACTTTATTTAGTTAGAGACGTAAATGCGACAGTTTCAAAATCAAGGTTGCGATGAAAGCGGATATTCTGGCGGATATGTTAAAAAGAAAGGCTGAGATCGAGGAAGGAAACTATCTTGATACCCAATAACCGATAGGACACAGAGGCCATTCCGCGTATAAATAAAAACACGAACGTATCTTAACAAACCGATTTTGTTCAAATAACAGTACATATATATTACAAATGCCAATTTTCTTTCATATCACATTAAAAGTGTATTTTCTTTTGTTACTACTGGAAAAACAAATGATTCTAGCGACGTGACGGTGTTGATACGACGGGCCAATGCTAACACGAGCCCGGGAGAGCGGACGGAAAGGAACAATTGAAATCCCCCTGCATGACGTTCCCATGTAAACGATGCTTTCACTGTTGATCAAGCGAACTTATATCTCGCTTTCCGTTTCTTTTTATCAAGCCATGACCGCTAGCGGATTAATAGGTTCACATATATTTATTTTGGAAGAGTTGATTAAGGAAATAAAAGCGAAACTTTACACGCTTTTTGTTGTTCGAATACAGTATAGTTGTTTCCCATTGAAGAGTCAATATTTTCCTCTAATTCAGTGAACTCTGGTGTGTATAACTTTCTTGTCCTGGTGATACGTAGACCAACAAAACTGGCAAATACGACACAATAAGTAACTTTGAAGTTGTAAAACGAGTAATTGGTGACAAAATTATGTAATATTTGCCTTCCACCCTGAATGAAACATTTTATTTTAGAATTTCCCACGTGCAGTATTTCTGCCCAACGTGTTGCATCAGATATACAGTCATTAACCAATTAGAAAAGACCGCAAATCATTTTAACATTTTAAATAAAAATGGTGACGCAACACGCAGCATTTATAATGTGACATGGGGAACTTATGCATATATCATTTCACAGTGTTTGTAAATAGGTATTTGTTAAAATAACCAAATCTTGCTTGGGAGTAGCCCTTGGAGAAATTAAAAGGCTTAAAATTATTTTCCAAACATTATCAAGTCAATGCCGCCGTAATATTCCTTTTAATAGGAACAGTGTGTAACTTTGCCCCCTAATCAAAATAGATTACTATTTATTTCTCACTTTGAAGGTGGATAAAGATTTTATGGCACACTACATCCAGGGAAAGCATATTTACATTAAAACAATGCACCACTTAACGTGTTGACACTGGCTTGTTGATTACAATTCAACTGTAGATATTTGTAACTTGTCCAAGAAATCAAAGGACTACATATCACATAATTGGCATAATAATTAATAACAATTTTAAAAATCAGAAATATAGCAATAGAAAGTAAAGCAAATTCATACCTTTAACTTTTGATATCTTAAATGAAGCATAGATATCATTGCTTGAAAAGCCATTGCCGGGAAGAGATGAGCATGCGCCATCAAATGATCGGCGATCAGCTTCTGAAAAGATATGTGGTTTATTTCGATTGATCATCTGAACTGACTGGCGACAGGGAAGCTGGGAAAAAATAAAGAAGTGACATACACTCCCCTCCAGAAGTTTGGCAACCTTAGCTCTCCCATTGAACTACGTGTTAGCCTCTTTACCTCCAAATTTTCTCAATTTTTTTCCTCAATTACAATAAGTCGAAAATTGATGATAAATTTGATGAATTTTTGAAAATCGACATTCCCATGTTAACCAATGGGAAATGATAGGTTTGCCGCAAGTCATATTTATAGGATATCCTATGATTTTGAGGAATATCATTTTTATCTACGAGGTGATATTGATATCTGCACGAGAGAGCGAAGCGAACGAGTGCATATATCAATATCACCGAGTAGATTAAAATGATGTTCTGAAAAAATCATAGGATGTTCTTATTATCCTACACTTACAAGGTGTACTAAATGTATAATATCATTGCAAAATGAATTCCATGCCAAATAGAGTCAATTTGGCGGGAAATCAACAAGCGGAGTATATCGTCACAATATCCTCCGCATATTGGGGTTTCCGGAGTATATCGTCACGATATCCTCCGCCCGGAGTATATCGTTACGATATCCTCCGGATATTCATTTTGCCAATAAATATCAAATTTATTTTTTAATGTTATTATACATTTAGTACACTAAGTGTAGGATAAGACAGAATATCCATCCATCCGAGTTCTTGCAAAAAATACGAGTTAGGCAGGCAATTGAATTTGCTAACTTTATTAAACAAAAAATTGATATGTTTCTTCAGGTTCAACAAAGTTATAAGGTTTTAAAGTCAAAATTGTTTTTCAAAAAACCTCTCCCATTGAAATAAAAACAAGAGGCGAAAGATTATTTTCAAAAATGACTTTGAAGCGCATATATAAAAATATTTTTTGTTGAATCTCTTTCTGGAAAAATATCCTGATTTCTGATTTGCCCCGAACCCTCCATTTCCCATTGGATTACATGAGAATGACTATTTTCAAAAATTCATCAAATTTATCATCAATTTTCGACCTATTGTAATTGAGGAAAAAAATTGAGAAAATTTGGAGGTATTGGAAATAAAGTCAAATTACGTTTCCATCAATAAATAAAAATTCAAACGTAAAGAGGCTTTAACACGTAGTTCAATGGGGGAGCTAAGGATGCCAAACTTATGGAGGGGGTGTAAGTGGAAATTTTCACCATACATTTATCCCAATGCAAGCAAGTGTATAGTGTAATAAAGGACCCATGGGACCTACACTCATTTTGTGAATTGTCTCCATTAGATCTCCGATCGCCTTAACCCAGTTTTTACAGGCCACATGGGCTGAAATGGCAAGACTGAACTGCCACTGAAGGAATATTATACGCAGTTAACGATATCACTCAGAGATACGACAAAATGAGAAATGTCGGTACAAAGCAGAAGAATAGGGATGAACGAAAGAATTTTTTTGAAATAAAGTAGATGATAAAACTAATCGATATCAAATGAGTAATATAAATGTACCATGTACACAATACATTGACAACTGTACCGTAAAATGTGTTGTAATTGATATGTGAATAAGTTTGGCTTGAAAAACAATACATCTTGAATCTTATAACGTCTACAAGAAAGTATCGTGCTAGTGGAACAGTTAATTATCACAAGATTCACTAGCAGGTGGATATTATTAATTGAACACTTGCTAAACTGCAATTGATAAAAAGTAAAATTAGGAATCCAATACGATTGTTGCACGCGATCTGGAGTATTGCATCGTTTGGACGTGTTGAATGGCCGCTCACGCTGGCATTGTAATGGACATCATAGTACCCCGGACAGACACTTGAGAATCGTGTTATATACCCGACTATCCTTTGACGATTTTTCATTATTCAAAATAATATTTCATTTTTAGAAAAATAGCTCTCTTTATCAACATTTAGTGTTGATCAATTGAGTAATAAAGTTATATTATCTCAGTCACAAATTAAATCTGTTCATTTTGAAGTATTTCGATGTTTATTTGGCATCATTCATTAAAAATAAATTTGATATCAATTGGCAAAATGAATGACCGGAGGATATCGCCACGATATACTCCGAAAAACCAATATGCGGAGGATATCGTGACGATATACTCCGTAAAACCCAATCTACTCGGTGATATTGATAAGTACTCGCTCGCTTTGCTCTCTCGTGCAGATATCAATATCACCTCGGAGATAAAAATGATATTCCTCAAAATCAGAGGATATCCTATAAATATGGCGACCCCATTAGGTACATTCCAGTTCATTAAGTACATTCCAGTTTATTCAAATCGTCTCATAAAACAATCAGTATAGAAAGTTTCCAATATTGGTATTAGTCCAAAACGTTTTGTATCATTTATAGGACATTGGACCATGCTTCACTGGTCAGTATCAAGCGAAGGTTACGAACGTCACCTTCGCATTCTAGATGACGGACGGGAAGTGACGATTTCGATATTTTTAGTTTTCATCAAATTAAATTACTTTATAGCTGACTTTATGCTTTGATTTTTGAACTAAACCAGGCTTATAATGTGACATGGAAACTCTGGAGGATGAACAATTGTTTGCGCGTCGGTGTCACAATCCATTAAGCAGTGGAAGATATCGTAAAACTTTGGCGCCCGCGCTGTTGTCCTGGAATTTTGATGACAAGATTTAATTTATGTTGCGCCCCCCCCCGCCCGCCCGTCCAACCGCCATTTAGCACAAAACACGGCAATATAGCACTTTTTAACACTGATGAATCCAGAAGCCAACAAGCAAGCCAACAACAAGGGGGGTGGGGCACACTTCAAATCTGGGAAAAATCCGTATGCACGTACATTTTTTAAAAATCAAGGTCCATTTTTCGTTATTTGGCCTAAGAAGACCCAAAAAGACAAAGAAATGCCCAAAAAGGCCTACTAATTATGGCCCCACAATTTTTTGAGCTAAATTTTTTCTGGGCCCATCCAAAGGGGGAGTCCTATCCCCCCTGGATCCGCCGGTGTCAAATGTGCGATAAAAACCTAATATATATGACTCCATTATGTGCATAGACATTGGGATAAAGAGAACAGACTTACACATGGAATAACTAAAACTAATACCAAAAGAACGGCACATGGAATTTTCATCAACAGTTTCAATTGTTTCTAAAATGATTATGAGCCAAAGTAGCGATAGTCAGAAATTTAACATGATTCTCAAGTGGTTGCCCGGGGAACTATGGTTTGTAAAAGTTTTTCGATTTGTCAACATGTTCTAACTTATTTACCTGTGCGGAGGAAGGTGAGATGAGACATCAGTATCTCCCCAATGTAAGGACTCGTTAACCTACAGAGCTCAGACGTGCTGTATTTACAGATTACACTTCCGTCGATATTCTCAAATTTGTTGATATCTAGGTCGTGGAGGTTGTATTCCTGGGTGCACCACAACAGCCAGTTCCTAACTTGTTCCACACTCCACATTACAGGATCTAAGGAATAGAAAATTTATTTAATTTTTAAAATTTCATGCAATACATGCTGGAAACCTGTAGACAAGCCTTGACAGAAAAGATTTTAGGACGGAAAATGCAAAATGGCCGCCTTGATAGGTATGATATCAGGGATGATATTAGAATTAGAGGAATGATATCAGGGATGATATTAGGATTAGAGGAATGATATCAGGGATGATATTAATATCAACCACCGGGTATATGTTTTAAAAAATTACTTTTTTCAAATATTTTCACTTTTTCAAAAAATTTCATTTTCAGAAGTTTTCATTTTTCAAAATTTTTCGATTTTTCACTTTCTTCTCTCATTCAACATTGAATTTTAGGTAGATATTCACTCTCACGGCGTTCCCTCGGGTGATATTGATATCATCCTTGATATATTCCCCATATCAAATCCCTCTTGGTGAATAACTTATTTTTATATGATATACATTCAAAAATCGAACACAACAACCCTTTGCAAATTTTTGTTTCTCATTGATTTTGATTTTACTTTCGTATTGTTTTATATATGTTTGGATATGTCACATGTAAAAAAGTCAGTATGTTTTCATCTAAAAATGAGACGAGTCGGATTAAATTAATTCTCTTGACTCATCATGGGGCTCAATTTACCAATTAGTTGATATGTGAATACGACAGGTGAGTTGAACAGATAACTTGGTTAATTTAGAATAACACCTGAATTATATCTTTGCAACGTTTTTGTGCTAGACTATCGACTTAATAATAGTGAACGTTTTGGAGTTGACCGCGCCGTTGAATGGACGTTGTGGAACACTTGAACCAGACGGAAACACTAAGTGACGCTGGAGGATCTAGACCAAAGGAACTAATACGAGGTTCAAGAAGACATGTGTAGTATCTGTATTCGTATTGAGCTCATAAAATATCAGCTGGTGTAGGAAGTGAGAGATCTCAGTGTGTGAATGGTATCATGGGGAGTGTCATGGAGTTTTCAAACAAAATCATTTGCTGTAAAGCTTTTGTTTTGTCACATTACCGTGTCATGTTTTGACAACTTTAATGGTGTAAAGACGCGACTGCCAAGATGTAGCGGCCAACATTATGAAGCAGGTTTATTGAAAATATATCAGAATTTATTGTATCCCATAACGTTTAATAATAAGTGCCCTCGAAGATAAATTGCACAGCTGGCTTCCGAATCGACAAAAGGCGTCATTTTCCACGCCATTGGTGTTTAGAAAACTGAGACCATAAAGATTTCATAGTTTTCTAGAAGTTCTTTTCTGATTATACATTGTCGAATTTAAATTACGCAACAAGAAAATACTTGACATATGTTTCAATTAGATCATACAAGGAAATGTAACAAAACACCAGCTGGATATGACAACGTACTATTCCACAAACATAACTGTTTGCATGGTCATTTCACAATTTCCTTTTGTTAAATAAATGAATTATATTTGTCCACTTTGCACATTCATTTATCATCATGTTAAATACGGCCACAATATTTTATAAAGGGAGTTCGTTTCATTAATATTTTTCTATCGCAGACATGAGGAAGGAATGACAAAGGGAAAATATCAAGGGACAATGACTTAGTGGTCGACGTACATGCGCGTGCCCTCGACGTGATACCTGACAGCTACAAAGCGAGTCATTCAGAATGGCATTTCGGACTTACGTAATTACACTAAAACTAACGGGTTCTGGTAAAGAATTAGTGTTCAATTTCGATTCTTTCATGATCATGATACTACGTTAACATTGCATAAGAGCTGACCTGACACGCTTCTGAGAAAACCTCAGCACAACATAGGCTCGAGTAAGGGGAACGAACTAACAAGTGTACATTAGCACCATGGGTCCGAATCCCAATGGTCCGACAATAATCATTTTAAGAGTAGATCATACTATCAACCTTAAGAACGATATCAAACAGCACGTCATATAAATGTGAACCAAAAACGATAAGCTCTCATTTTCTCAGACAAATGTTATTATTAGATATTATGAAGGGATTGTTAAATTAACAAACTTAATAATTACCTATTTTTCTTAGTATTTTATTTCAATTCAAACGACTTCTGATTACATTTGAAAAGTAAATAGGCTATTCAAAAAACGAGATCCTGTGACATTGAATCAGCAATTCAGACAAATGTTTTGTAATACAGTTTCGTCAGGCATAATTTTTTAGTAACCACTCCATTGTTAGGCCAGTTTTGCCATATGGAATGTAACTTCAACAAAATTGAACTTTCAACAAACGAGAATGTAGATGTAATGGTATAAAACATCAATCGCGTACGCGCGTGTAAAATCGGCACTTCTTGGACATATTTCGTTGATTAATTTCTGCATAGAACAGTACACACCATATACTTGTTTTTCCCCATACTTGGACGTGTTACAGGTTCATATATAAAGCCGGTTTGTAAAAACTTACATTTTCAACAGCGGGCAGATATAGCTTTACGTTCCGCTCCGAGCGGGCAGATATCTGCCCGCTACGTCATAATCGCCGTTCGCATATTGGTTCTTTGTAACTTTCGCAATAACGGTAAACGACAATGGAGAAAAACGCAGACAATCGTGATCTGTTTTGATGGTTTAAAGAAAGAGCTGTATGCCCTGTAAATAATCAAAGATTCGAGAAAATATATGTGAATGAATATCCGAAAGAATAGAAAAATCCGGCTACGGCCAAGAATACAAAACTGGACAAGAATATTCTAAAATAATTCAAGTTTCTGAATTGTGGCCAATTGAGCAATGTGAACCAAATGACCAAGATTGGTATGGGATAAACAGATCAGTTTCGGGATATTTAGATTATCCCTTAAACAATATAATATATCTACCCTACGACTTTGGGCAGATATATTATATTGGCCTCGGGATAATCCCAATATCCTGAACCTCATATAGGATAATCTCTATATATATGTTACATGTTCTATAACGTAATTTGAATGTTTCGGACAATAAGGATGCGAAAAATCGCATTTCAGACGATCCCATTACAACTCCAATATTTCTAATTGGAAAAAAGTTAGGTCAAACATAGAAATTAATGATAAAAGTAATAAATTCTTTGAAACAGCAGAGATATTCTACTCCATGCTTTTAGCGTAAAATGAGCGAAATTACCCGTAGTCATATGAATCCTTCTATTTGAAGTGCCAGCAAGGTCAAAACATGTTTTAACTCCCTTTCCAAGACGACTAGAAGCAACCTCTTGTCCTTTGGGATAAAGCATTGGTGAATCGAGACCCGAATATGCGCAAATCTTTTGCGTCCGACAATCAGCTGCGTCTGTTTGAATAGTCTCTTTAATAACGTATTGGGAACCTGTTGGCGTGAACGCTGATTTATTCTGATTGTGGTCCGTTAAATCCTGAAATTGTTCGCTAAATACATAGGTTTGCGCAGATCCTTGGACTAACTTTTGGCCTTTGTTAGTACAGTCTCCCCATTGTATTCCTCCTTTTGAAATCACGCAATTAGGTTCTGTTTTGACTGTAAATGCCATAGGAATCGCGGTTGCCATCATCTTAGGGTGTGATGTCTCAATTACAGAGCTTTCTTTCCATGAAGTAATATTTATTCAGCCGTTCTATTTCAGCAACTGAAAAGAAAAATACAATCTATAAGCGATGTAGTAGTATATATAGTATCAGGCATTATAAAATATAAATTACGATTCAGAAAAATGCTTTACTTCCCTGTATTTCTTGTAACAACCCAACCGCTCTATCTGGCATTGTGTGATTTCATTGCCTATAGGGTTATTCCGTTTTATAAATTTAAATTTGAAAATTAGATGAATATCCATTGGACTTCTGCATGACAAAATCACAAAATTGAACTTTATTTGATTTTTGAAGTGTGTCAATGATTAACATTAACTATTGCGACTATTGTATGTGAAAGCTTCGTGGACTTAAGGATAAAAAAGCCAGAGAGTCATCCTTCCAAAACTAAAAGGAGATAATGGCCGATAAGCATTTGAATAAAGCAATTTAAGCAAGCCATGAAATTGTACGTGGGACTGGGGTATAGCAATAAATACTATTGTAATTTATATTGACGTAAACTACGGACACCAATTTCTACATATGTTCTAAAGATTCATATTTTCTTTAAGGGTTCCAAATGTTCCCCTACAGTACGTTGGTGTAGAGACATCTCTGTCTTAACCTTCAAATCGCTGTGCAAAGAAGAGATCACCACACAGGTGGTTGGGATTGTGTATACATCTTACATACATGTACAAATAGCATGTTCGGTACCCTGCGCGCAGAGTCTACTTACTTATAAACTACGGACGGAGCTCTCTTTTAAGAAGTGAAGTCAGACGCATGCAAAGGGTACATGTTCCGGTTAAACGCTTGAAAATAATAAAAGTAAAAACAGGGTGTGTACCAAATTAAGCGTGACAGTTGAACGCGTTGGGGAAGATACAACACGAGGGTGATGAAATTTGAGCAAACTGCTGTTTTCATCGTTTCAGAAAGATCTGGTGTAGTTTCTAAATATTTGTATGTAAATATCTATGATGAATTTCAAAGTTAAACCTACAAAAACTCAGAATGTAGTATATAACGCGGGGTAAAGGTAATTTGTATTTGCGTTACCGTATCTCAGGTAATTTGGAGGTTTCCCTATGAAATTCACGGTAAAGCTCACTGTCTAGGATATTGGTACAAGCATTTACATATGGAAATATCTAGAAACTAGACCAGATCTTTCTGAAACAATGAAAATATCAATTTGCTCAAATATCACCCCGTGTTGTACTTTTAGATGGTTGGCTTACCCGCCCAGAGTATGCACGCGTTGTTTACGGGTGTGTAGGCGTTAATTACGCTCGTGCAGATGTAAAATTACGCCCGTGTAGACGTAAAATTACGCCCGTGAAGAAATAAATTCTACGGACGTTCAAACAACATTTACAGGCGTAAACTTACGGCGTTAAGATGATTAATCACGGGCGTTAAGACGGTTACTTTACACGCGTTGAGAAACATCTTCACGCCCATCGAATTTACTTTTAGCGCGGTAAATTATTAACCAATCAGCACCTTGCTTACATAATGATTCAATGCATCCTTGCTAAAGGAGCAACTCCAAGATCCTTGCGCAAGTAAATAACAACTAGATGCCCGCTTACATTTTAGTATGTTGCATTGAGGTTCTTAAAATTTCGTTCAAGATTGTTAGACTTAACCAAAAAAAGTATTCACTTTTTAGAGCAAATTAAAATGCAAATTAAAGATACTGTGTCGGCAGTTATCAACACCCATTGTAGAAACGACAAAATTGCAACTATTTTGAGAAGGTATACATGTTTGGTTTCTAAATACGATGATTTTTTCGGATAGTCTAGGCGTCCGCTTCAAAGGCAGGGACTTAAGCTCACACGCATTGCAGCTTACAAAGCACTAAGCAGTCAGATCGCTAATGTATTCTTCTAAAGGATGTGTAGCCTTGCCAAAATCGGTCTCTTTTACTTATCTTGATTTCTATTATGACTGCCTTGTACCCAAGAGAAAGCCACGTGCTTTACCGACCCAATGTTTGTGTCGGTTAAATTTGACCAATCAACGACGGCCCTGCAGCGTTAGCTCATTTTTATGCACGGTCAAAAACAACTACACTTTTCACTGGAACTTTTCAAGAACAAATCTTGCACGAATTCATCATGAAAATAAAAATATTTTATCAGATAAATATCAATCAGAGTTTAGTAGATGCATCGATCTGATAACCGGATGTGAGAAGATTTCAACAATAAACATTGAAACGATCGCTGAATTCAAATGATCGAACATGTAGGATGAGATTCAATCACTGATTGACGACTACGTACATGACCCGCTACATGGACTAGGTCTTCGTGCATTTTCATCGCGAAATCAGTTTTAAATCAACATTGAATCGCATGATTTAATTTATATTAATGACTCTTTCATTCCAATGTACATTTAATTACATAATATATTGTAACTCTAAAGAAACACTCGATCAGATCATTGAATTTCAAGTCGTAGACGGGAAGTTTGCTTTCTTTATGCAGCTCAACCTGATAACGTTTTGATTGGTCAATCAGCCTGAAGTCACACGTCGTGTCCACGCGATCTGTCAATCAATAAGGTTTCGCGATGCCCCTGATAGCGTTGGTATTATGGAAATCTCGAAACCGTTTAATATCTCAGCATAATATCAGCGGAGATGTATTGGATTGTACAAGGAGGTATCAATTTCAGATAAGTAAAAAATACCGACTTGGGCAAGGCTAAAGGATGTGTTCAGTTACTAGAATTATAGTATCTGATCAACTGCATATTGACTCTAGACTATAGCAATATCCTATAGATCTGGCAGTTTTTGTAAATCCACTGAAAATGTCAGATGAGCCTATATACCTAGTATACCTAGCCAACATATGTTCAAATTTGGTATTAGGGAGATGTGTACTTTTTGGAATCTTTATATGCAGTCCTCTTTAGAGTCACATGTTATTTTCAGGAATACATAACTCCTTCAATATACGATATACATCTTTCACATTTGCACAAATAGTGCACCAAGATACCCAGAAAAGAAATAATGTTTCATGTGCCATCAATTGCAATAGTTGTTCCTGGCACAATCATGAGCATGTTATTAACTTACACAAGGATCTTCGAGTTGCACTTTTAGCTAGAATGCATTGTATCATTATGTAAGCAAGATGCTGATTGGTATGGCTGGCCATCTGGACCAATGTATCGTCATACTTTTAACGCCGTAAAAACGATTTTATACGCCGTAAAGAATTACTTTTTTTTTTAGATTTTACGGCGTTAAAAGTATGACGATACATTGGTCCAGATGGCCAGCCATAGATTGGTCTTAACGCCCGCTATTGAACATTTTAACGCCATTAGTTTACGCCTGTATTTGTTTTAACGCGTATAGAACTCACCAGTCTTAACATGCGTAATTAATGCCTACACGGGCGTAAATTACGTCCACACTGGCGTAATTTTACGTCTGCACGGGCGTAATTAACGCCTACACACCCGTAAACAGCGCGTGCATACATAGGGTAGGTTGGCAAACCATAACCTCGCGCGTTCAACTGTCTAGCTTTATTTGATACAGACCGTAGTGATAAAGGCACTCTGGCATAAATGGACTCATAGGGTTACATGCGTCATTGTTACAATTTTTTTGTTTAAGCACATTCATGTATTCTGTTTAAATATAGATCAATTTCAATGTGAAAAGTAAATGAGCAATCCTAACTTGCTACCCTTAAGAATTACCTATTCAAACACAGACATTTGATTTTCGATTAGACATGGACAGTAAGTTACCATTCTGATTTGGCTTGATTTATCAGACCACTCTTTATCTAATGCTTGAGACACACTTTTTATATTGCAAGGGATAATAAAGGTTTTGGATCCAACAAAGTTACACCTTCCATCGTTTTGTTTTTCTTCAGTTAAAGGACGGGAAGCAAATACTGATAGTCCTTCCAGACGAACACTCATTCCTGTTACAAAAGTACGATTTTTAAGTCAACTCGTGGTAAACATTCGCCTGATTCCTTGTTCGTTTCAGACTTGTGGGTATCATTAACGTAAAACAGGCCCGTAGACAGGGGGGAGGTTCGCAGGGTTCGGGCGACCCCTGGCCAAATATTCTTTCAAAATCATGCAGTTTTCACCATTTTGAGCACTTTTCAAGTGATTTTAGCCATCTTATTTAGGCCAAAATTGTCAAATGTGAACCCCCCTGGAAAATTTTTAAAAATTGAACTGAAACCCTTTGCAAACCCTGGCTATGGGCCTACAAAACAGCGTTTTGAAAATAGAAATAGTAGTCAGATTTCTAACTAGTGAGACACGAGATGATGTCTTGACTTATCTGTTGCTGCAGTTAAGGAAGTGAGAGATCATATAGCAGAATAACAATCGTGCCAACGCTAAAATGAATCATCTCAACATTTCCTTATCCATAAGTTAATTATTGCAAGATTATATTATATTAGTTTGCCCGTAGCCAGCTTTTGCCAAGAGGAGGGGGCTTTTTAACAGCTTTGCCAGAAAAAAGTGCTCAGAATGGTGAAAATTACAGGATTTTAAAAGAATTTCTGGCCAGCATTTGAATTAAAATAAATTTTTAATGCGACGAACATGAAACTGAACAGATGATCTGCACTTTACTTACAATCTGAATGCATATGCCGTTTTCTTCATTGGTGTCATCTTGAACTGTGTAGTTTTCTCCTCAATTAATTTTTGTAAAGCTCAAACACACAAACAGTGCGTCCAAACAAACGAACAAACAAAAAAATTGTAAAAACACAAAACCAGTGATGATTACATCAATATCATTTATTTTACCATAAAGCCACGTGTCTCCTCTTTCCAATGGCATGTCATTTATTCATATATGACCACAGACCACTGAATAATCATTACTTTTGCACAACGGGCCAAAATCGGCTCTGGACCAAGAACAGAGAATCACCAATGAGGTTGTTGCTCTCCGCTAGAACCCACAGATGATTCAAAGAGGTATTTGTATTTGTATTGAAATGGAGAGACGAGTCAATCTCTGTGTGTAGAGAAAATATATAAACAAATGGCATATCGTTAGAAAGAGGAGACACATGGCTTCATTATATAAATTAAATTAAATTGATGTAATCGTCACTGGTTTTGTGATTTTACGTACAATGTTTTTGCTTGTTGCTTTTTTGGGATGCACTTACCCTTTGCATTCGTTCAACTTTATTTCTTAAAGAGAACTTCGTCTTCAGTATAATTCAATAAACTATAAGTACAGTATATCAACGTTTAACCAACAGTGCATCTGTCATCATTCGTTTAAAACTATAGCTTAGCGATGGGAATAATGTGCACGTGCGTATAGAGAATTTGAAAACAATTCCATTAAATCTTTTTTTGAATCTGTTACACCAAATTCCTGGAACCAAATTGTAATATTAATGATAGATAGTTGTATAAATCATCTGATGTCTGATATGACAGTTAACATATAAATATTGTATCATCTGTCAAAAACACCTTAAACTAAAGGAACTTACCGTTTGCGCTCAATTTCCCATAAATTTCCTCGGGAAAGTGTCGATTTCTCGCTAAAATCCGTTCTAAACCTAAGTTTTCCTGTTCGCTATTTATGTCTTCGGGATTCCAATTAGTTCTTCAATTAAAACTAACGATTTGGCGAGTCACGAAAGTCCCGTGGATTTTACTCATAGAAGCAAACAGAGTTTAGCAGACATTCCAACGACGCATGCGCAATGGTGTATCTTAATTAACTTGGTGTCATTGTTAATGAGTGTGATGATAGAGCGCAATATATTCCTTTCAATCTATATTAAATATTGATGCAAAGTAAGGAGTTGTGAGCTGAACATAATAGAGGCAGGAAACATTTAACTGATCGCTTCCCTCCTTTGATTGGGAAGATATTTTTAAGGCATTTTTTCTGACACAAAATCACCTGCTGCTTGTGTAATGGACTAAACTGCACTAAATAGTTGTCAATCTTTTTATAAACGATTTTTGCTATAGATTCAAATAAATACATGAAGGGAGGGCCCCAGTCACCAGTAGTATTATAGATGTCCATCAAGAGTCCATCAGCGTAGTCTAGCTACAAGTCTCTGAGCCAATGAAATGAAGTTTCTTTACCTGTTAAGTCAAGTAACACGGTACATAAAAGTATGTTCATAAATATGATATGAGTAAGGGGAGATACACACCATAGTCGACCATTCACTAGCCATTTGAATATGTGGCTGAAGTGGAGCTGGGGCAGAAGAAATAGAAAACATATTTACATATATCGTATAAATGCAAAGATATGGACAACGCGAGAACAATAAAGAACAAAGTTCCCGCATGCTTATTATTAACATATTACACCTTGCCAACAAGAGGTTCGGATAGATGTTTCATTTCATTCCGAACATATGACACCAAGAACGAAAGAAGTGTCTCGTGTGTTTTCTAAAACAATATAAAGAAATATACATATATATAAATATACATGTATATATATTTTAAATTATATTGTTACCATTCAAAAGATGACCATTAAATTAACGATTTGTACATTTTCAGAATTTTTGATGACTGGTTTAAGAGAAACATGTGTTAAAAAGTTCACCATATCGATACCCATCCTTTGGAGAAAATCCGATGAGCGGTTTTGCGATGACAAAGCGGGACACAATCACGAACGATAACGATCACGCCGTCATCATGACGACTATATCCCACCGATGGTATGATAAAAAGACAATATTATGATAATATGACGCGTTTTATTTTATCAAAATCATGAATATTATATTATTATTATTTATTTATTTTGAATACTCAGACTAGGCAACTGCTTGTAAACGAGCGTGAAACTGTATTTGCAGGACTGCGAACTTCAGATCTTCATCTTTGGTTCTGAGTCAGTTTGAACACAGTTCACAAAATTCAGTTTCTTTTGTATGGTGATGAAGATTTAGATAATTCATTAAATGAAAAATTAATAGAACTAATGAGTCATTTTGTGAATCAAAGTTTGAGCCAAATTGATCGGTTTTGGCTAATTTTTGCATACATCAGTACACGCTAACGATCATTATATCATTGGAGGCTCGATTACAGCTACGACATCTATAAATAATAACATTTGAAATATTTTAAACTTTTTGTTTCATTAGCCGAAGTTTGAACTTTCAGCACGTTAACGCTTGAGACACGTGAAACTTTCTGAGTTCCGTCCAGTCATATTGGTTCCAACGTGTGGATCTACAAAGGATTGGTATCGATATGGTGAACAGAACTCAACATTGTTTTTCTCATAAAACCAATTATTGAAAACATTCTGTAAAAAACACGTTCCTTTATGTAATTAATGGTCACAATGACAACAATTTAATGCGAAAATTACTTATATATATTTTATATAACTGCTTTGTAAACATTTTGTTTTTAGTGCACTTGTTTTTTGTTCCTTTCTACCAATTCTTGAGAATGAAATTAAATATATTTCGAAACCTTGTTGGAACAAAAATGCATTTATGGGCCAATTTACGATAATTGATATATCAAAAAATACAAAATTCGAAAATCAAAATATTCATATGACGATGGTTTTTTCTTGAATTGTAGAGGAAACACATTATATTTTATAAATTCGTAAGCAGCATCATTGGAACTATATTGAAGTATATTGGCATTTCGTAACCTGAGCAATTTTCAAAGGAATAAAAAATTAACATATTTTCGTTAATTGTTCAATAAGTCTGGTTTAATTTCAAATAAGATATTATTTATCACATTTGTGTGTATCAAACAAACAATGAACATGTTTCCTTGGATATTAGTATTGAATTGTAAAAATAAAAATGTAAATAGAGTCAAAATAAATCGTTTGAAATTATTAGCTGCAAATTATTTTGAACGACCTCTGTGTCAAAAGCGATAACTTACCCCCCTATCACACCAAACTAGTTCTTACCCGTTCTTGCCAGTCCTACGAAAACGTCGTTAAACGGGCTCAATCTGGCTGTGGTCGGGAAATATGACTAAAATAGTCAGCTACTTCGTTCATAAACAGTCTTCAATACGTCCATCTCATTCGCAGTTCGTTCAGGTCGCACCAAGTCGGTGTGCAACGTCGTATAACACGTCCCTTAGTCTAGAAGGTCATCATGACCTGATTACAGAACGGTATGGTAGCCATCGAATTTTGAATCGATTCAAAATTCTAAATCACATTCCCCGTCCAGGAAAGTCCATGAAGTTCGTAAACAGACCGTAGAACATTGTAGGTACGTTCATTCAGTTCGCACACAGTTTAAAAACGATTCGGAAACGTTTTGAAGAACGCAGTGGCAAATGGTTCTGGTGTGATAGCTATTTTTGTTAATTCGTTCATAAGCAGTTTTTAATACGTTCATCTCGTCTTTATTCCGTCTGAGGTACGTTGGTGCCAAGTTTAGAATAGATCGGGTTAAATTGTGCGTTCGTCTCGTCTACACAACGAATCCAAGCAGTTCAATTACGTCCTTAATCAGTTTAAACTAGTTGACAATTAGTTCTCGTTCTCAATACGTCCTAATATGTTACTGAATTATCCACCAAATTTCCATACGGTTGAACTCATTCTAAAATAGTAAACATCGTGTCCCTAATCCGTGCAGAACGCATTTATGATCCCCTATTTTCCTGATTGCTACAAACGGACTAGATTGGGGTACTCAAGGCTGCAATTTACGCCTGACTACACAACGTCGTAATACGTCCCTAGTAGGATTGAAGTACGACACTTCCGTTCGTAGTGTGTCCCCAGTGCGTCCAGGTCGTCTTAAGTACGTCGTCACTCGTTCTGATTGCAGAACGTGACGATCACCAGAAAATTTTGAGCATTCTCTAGTTCTGGAGGACCTACTCGTTCGAGTAGTTTCATGAAGTTTGTAAACAGATCCCAAACGGTTCTTAGTGGGTTCTTAGTACGTCAAATCCGTTCGTACACAGTTCAAGCCCGTTTTCGAGAACGTAGTGAGAACTATTTTGGTGTGATAGTAAGGTTAAGAAATGGGCAAGATACGTTCATACAATTTTACATGTACAGTTCTTCTCCGATGCCCTCACTATAGGACAAAGTTTGTGGCTTCATTTAATATATTTTTCCAGAAAAGGGTGTCTAATAATCATGAATTCTCCAATACATATCTGTTTTGGAAGATACATTTATATTAGACTCCATTGATCATTCCAAGAGTACCCCTTTAACTATGATATGGCCTACTTTATAACATCATACATTATAAATAATGTTGAAAGCAAAATATTTATTCATTTTCACTCTTTTATATACTTTAAGGTGTTTTATTGTTATATATTCCTTTCGCCTTGTTTATATTATATTTGTTAAGTCTTTCAATTAGTTTAATTTTGAAAGTGAATGGACCGGGTCCTATTATCACAGGGTGTGTACCAAACTAAGCGTGACAGATGAACACGCGGGGTAGGTACAACACGTAGTGATGACATTTGAGCAAACTGATGTTTTCATCGTTTCAGAATCGAAAGATCTGATCTAGTTTCTGTCTGTTACAACATCCTAGACAGTGAGCTTGACCGTGAACTTTTTAGTTCCAACTTCACAAACTACCAATGCAGTATATGGTATAAAGCTCGGTT